TACGGAGCGGACGACGTGCATTTGGAACAAAAGGACTTTTTCCAGTGCATCGAGTTACGCGATCTCGTCGACGTACAAACGAAACGAGACTACCCTGGTGACGAAAGAGTTATTAAAACGCAGTACCGAAGTGAATTAACGATATTCCTTTTCGCGGCCTTCCTCCCTTTTTATTGCAACTTTAGCTGAAAAGCTTATGAAAAACGAAGGCTGTTTCCGTTTAATAACAAAACATGATCTACATTAATAAATTGTACGAGTAAATACTCAAAGAGGAAATACTCAGCTCTGAGCTGAGAAAGTATTTGTTTCTGTCAATGCGCTCAGAAACAAATGCGTAAGTAACATCGCACTTTTAAATCCAGCGCGATGTGTTACACGGTGATCGAATCTGCCACAATATTTCGACAATTTTCCGAATCGACGAGAATCGGGGATCCTATAAAGATCCTCGCTTTTTCACAAGACGACGTTTGCAGCTCGACGAACAAGAGCCGCTAGAAAAAGACTTTTTAACAGGTCAAGTTTCAGAATCTCGGTGACGCACAAATGGAATTACTCACCGAATGCGAAGGAAAGTATAGAGCTCCTGTGCTCCTCTCTATCCCTCCCCCCTCCCTCCCCCCAATTCCCACTTCCCGCTTCTCTGCCATCCCATCCCATCCCTTTTCAATCCGCGATACGCTCCTTCCTCACCGGCCATTCAAGATTCGCCCCCACCATCGAATGAAAGACGAGGAGCGAAGAAGAAAGTGAAATGGATGGAAAGAAAGAAAGAAAGAGAGGAAGAAGAAAGAATGCCTCGATACACAGGGAGTCGATCGTATCATTTATTTCTGTACCCCGAGCAGATTATCTTTTTCGTTTTCCAGCAGGCCGCGCGCCTCGCAGAAGCCCTTATTGTGACAGCGTTATTGTCGTACGGTTCTGGAAAATTGCGCACTGTGAAAGCATTCTTAAGACAGGCGGCCTCACGGAATCTTCCCCGTTGCTTCTTATGTTTATCTCGGACATGCCGCGTTCTTACGAAGCACAGCAAGAAGACCGATCAAAATTGATCAATGTTGATTTTCTTACGACTTCGCATTTTACTTTATTTCCTTCTATATATATAT